TGAAGTCAGCTAAAATGGGCCATGTTTTAAAAATAAAACTTATATAGGCCTACCATAAAAAAGCTATATGCATGAGATCTGATATTATTTATAAATTAGCATGGGTCTCATATATATATATATATATATTAGTGCTGTCAAACGATTAATCGCGATCCAAAATAAAAGTTTTTGTTTGCATAATATATGTGTGTTCTGCATACATTTATTATATAAATGCACACACATACAGTATGTATTTTGAAACTATTTATATGTATTTACATGTCTACATTTATATTCATATAATTTATATTATAAATAAATATATTTAATACATAAAAATAACAAATTTTTCTGAAATATACACAATGCATGTGTATTTATACACTAAAATAGAACCTTCCCCTGAACATTATCCAAAGTTCCAAGAACGTTCCCTGTTAGCTGAGATCACAAAGAATGTGAGTTTTGTCCTGAAGATCAAACCTCAAGACTGAACATTGACACCTTTTTAAAAAGCTAACCACCCCTGAAAGTCACTCTAGCTATGAATCAAACAATAATTTTTTTTCCCTCAATAGTTGCCCTGGTGGAGCACCAATGGCTCTTTGTTCCTCAGATGAGAAGTGTTTGATTCATTCTGGAGAAATCAGAGAGGATTATTCTAACTGAATCACAGGAGCTGATACTATGTTTCCCGTCGGTTTGTGTGTGTTACAGCTGCAAGTTTGCCAAAAGAGACTTGGATCAGGTAGCCGAGTCGCTTTCACACTCCATTTTCCAAAATACCGCAGATCTATGAATCCTGCAAACACTGGCTGGAGAATGAACGCTCAGAGCCAAGGTGAAGTTGTCGCGCCGGGATCAGCGTTGGAGTTTGCCAGGTCAGGCCGAGCATTTCACACTGAGAAGGCCTAATCCAACCCAAGGGAGCGGGTGAATTTGAAGGGCAACGGCGTAGCTTGACAGAAACATTGGCTGTGTGTACTAAAAAGGCTTCAGTAGTGTCAATTCTGGCCATTATTAAGAATGCTGACACATTTATTTTGGCTTCTTCATGTGCATTAGGTTAGAATCCAGTCAGGAGCCTGGAGTTAAGATCATTTTGTAAATGAAGCAATATCATTATCGTTAAGTGTCAGAATGCTAATATTTTCACAATGCCAGTACAGTAATATATGTCAATGAATAGTATGATTATATTTAATGTTTAGGCTGTGATGTGTAACAAGCCGATGAAGTGACATGCGACGTGCAGAAGCGATGTTTCGACCACTAGATGGCGCAGGATCCTCTTCAAACTCACGCTGATTGGCTGATGGCTCCTAAACCTGAGCTGTGACGTCAAACACAGCAGACAGGACAAATACAACTTTATTTATGTAGCCATGCAAAAATAATAATAGGATAGTCCGTTCATTATTTCAGCAGAATATTACTCTGCCAGCTGGAAATTCTGTTTTAATGTTTTAAGTTTTGAATCTGATTTTGCTTCTTGCTAAATTTCACATCCACAGATGCAAATATTCAAACTCCAGCTTTAAAATCTTTTATCCGTCTAACTCTTTTCCTATCTTTAATGATATGCAAGTTTCAATTTTATTTTTTTCTGTTTGTAATGTATTAAACACCCCCCGTTTTTTCCTTCTTCTTTTTTTATTTGTTTCTGCTTTATTTTTTGTTATTATTTGTTGATGGTTGTATTATTTTATGTGTACTGTTCTTGATTTTTGAGCATAAAAAAAAACAACAACTTTATTTATGTAGGATAGAAATCATTAAGTTAATCATTAATATTTTTTGTGGAAATATTATTTCTGTGTCTTCCATAGTCCTTTACTGGAATCATTTATTTGATCATCTAAATTGGAAAAAGATGTAGTCCTTGCAACAAAAACAAGGGTTTGATTTTGGCATTGGTGGGGACATAATGGCAGACAACAGTCACTTAATTGTTCGATCAAAATTATTGCTAGGGACTATTAGTAGTCGCTGAATATCGGTAGAGACATGTCTATGCCTTTGAAAATCATAACAAGCGATGCCCGAATTTGGAAATAGTTCTCTCCTTAAATATGAAGAGGTCAAGCAACAGATTAATGAGTTAACACAAATAATCTTATGGACGTGATTATAAGTCAGACATTTGAAGCAAGTTGCTGTTTTTGTCACTCTTCTGAGGAAGATTCATTCACTTGTTTTGCCAAGTGACACACAGAGACACTTTTTGTCAGATTTTTTTTTCTGTTCATCTAATTTCATTTTGTAAGTGACTTTTCTTTCTGTTTTAAAGATGCTTTCTTTTGATTGTTTGACTACTCAAAAGAGAATATAGGAAAATATAATTCATCTGTAAATAATAATAATCTGCCTCTAAACCTCTCTTTTCTTTATTCAAAGTTGATCTAGACAAGTACATGGAAACTATCCAAAGTTCTGTTAATCCTAAAGCAGTGAAAACTGCATCTCTATAGTCATCCTATGTGACTTCCGAGAGGATAAGTTCACTTCCAGAATAAAAATTTCCTGGTAATTTACTCACCCCCATGTCATCCAAGATGTTCATGTTTTTCTTTCTTCAGTCGCAAAGAAATTACGTTTTTTGAGGAACGTTCCCAGGACATTTCTCCATATAGTGGACTTCAAAGGTGGCCAACGATTTGAACGTCAAAGTGCAGTTTCAGTGCAGCTTCAAAGGGCTCTACACGATCCCAGCAGAGGAATAAGGGCCTTATCTAGCGAAACAATCGGTCATTTTCTGAAAAATAATATTTATACACTTAACCACAAATGCTTGGTATGCTCTAGCTCTGTAATATACACAACTATGTTTTCAGAGGTGTATAAAGACCTTACACAATAAACCATTATGTTTTGTTTTGTTTTTTACCTTCGAATGAGCAATTTCTATCTACATACACCGCGGGTCCCCTACACGGAAGTCGCTATTTTACGCCGCCATGTTTCTACAGTAGCCCTAAAGGGACAAACTGCTCTACAGAGCATGTTTCGTCACTATGTTGTTCTTGCAAATAAAACACTGACACAATGATGAAAAAGTAACAATAATATTCACACTAACATATCGGTTTACTGAATAATTAAGTAAATATAATTCCTTAATTTACCTTTGTAAAGAAACCATTGTCTCAGAAGAGGACATCTTCGACCTTTGTAGCTTCTCTATGTGCAATTTGCAACCTTTACGCCTCACCTTTAAGGGATTTGTATTTGTGTATTTTTTTTTCTTTATGACTGTACTGCCTTAATGGTTGAATGTTTTGTACTGTTTAATAAAAAAGTTGAAAAAAAAAGAAAAAGAAATCATACGCGCTGCGAAGTCGCTGACTTCGAAGTTCCAATACCGTTTTTTTTCGTCTTTTCATTCTGTTTGTGAAATGATTCACGAACCCGCTTCGAAGTTACAATCTAAAACAAATGACTCGCGATACATGCTCCGAAGTTCTAATCTGATCTGAATTAAATGTTTCGCGATCTGCACTCCGAAGTCCCGATAATGATTAGTGAACCATCATTTCCGATCAGAACATTCAATTCGCGAAATGATTCCGAAGTTCCGATCTAAATCAAATGATTCGCGTTATGCACTTTGGAAGTCCATATCTAAATCAAATAATTTGCGATACGCGGTTTCTGAATAAAATGATTCGCAATACGCGATCTGAATGGAGCTTTTCAAAACAGCAAATCTTTTTGCCACGCAAACTAATTCTGAGTTTCAAAAAGCTCAGTTGCACCCTTCACTATTTGTGCTTTTTAAAATCATTACAAACGATGTCAAAATTTGAAAATGAATGCCTCTTGATCTGGTTTTTGATAGTGAATTGCTTCAACTGAACGATCGAAGTCACGAGTTTGAATCAATTGGAGCAGTTCCAGGGTAAATGACTCACTCAATTGATTCGGATTGTCTGTTCCTCCGCTTTTCGTGTCTTCAGCCATGTTTACACGACACTACAGGTGCATCTCAATAAATTAGAATGTCGTGGAAAAGTTCATTTTATGTTTCCATCCACCTATTTTTATGCGCATTTTGGATGATCGCATAAAAAACCGCTGGATGGAAACGTCAAGATGTGCATAAATTCTAAAAATGCGCATAAAAAATTTATAAAAATGTTTTTATATTTACATAAAAGTAATTTATTAGCCTACATATGAAAATTATTATAGCCTACTCAGTGGCTTCTCCTAGTTTTCTTAGAGATGTTTAGTGCCAGATTATCAGGAAGTGACGATTTTGTTCTCTTTGACTCGTTGGATGGAAACGGTGCTTTATTCGCAAATGTTTTATGTGATATTCGAGTTTTGCGCACAAGTTAAATTTGCATCTTTGGATGGAAACATAGTACTCTTGGCTTAGCTCGCTAGTTTAATGACATTAACTGAAATAAGCGAAAAAGGTATGATGTTTAGAAATGAAATATCCATATTTCCATAACGGTTTAACTGCTAACTAGTGAAACACTCCTTTAAAATGACGAGCTGCACCTCAAAATACAGACACAATTAGGGCCTGCAAAAATAATTGATTACTGGCACAACATGTAGTATAATAATAAATAAAATCTTAATAAAATAATAAATATATAGTAAAATATATTATCAAATAATAATACAATATTGGCAATGCATTTGTTGCTTCATCTAAAAGCTTATTTTGTAGTATAATAATTAATAAATAAATAATTAAAAATAAATATATAATAAAATTATAAAATGTTAACAGTGCATTTGTTGCTTAATCAAAAAACGTATTTTGTAATATAATAATAAAATATTAATAAAAATAAATCTATAATAAAATAAAATATTAGAAATGCATTTGTTGCTTCATTTAAAAGCATGGCTATTTTGAATATGGCTGTTAATGAACTTGCTAAAAATCTTAGGACTACAACTAACTTTTTTCCTAATAGAACTAGAAATGAAAGCAAATTTATATGAGCACCAGAAGAACAAAATCATTTCAAATCAGTTTAAAGGGATAACACGCCCTTTATTCCAAATATCAAACTGTTTCTGACTGCCTGATTCTGCTGTCAGGTAAAATACGCAGTTACATGTCTGTTTTTTACAAGCCCTTGTTGTGGAGAAAAACCCAGAATCTTCCGGCTTCCTCAGATCAGTTTCTTTCACGTTAGACTCTTTTAAGTTTAAGTTTTCCACATTCAAGAATACATCTGATAAATACAATGTAGCAAATCTACGAAAAAACACATCACTTAAACATTCTGTCATTTGCTATTCACGTTTGTCCTGATATATGAAGAAAAACTACTGTTTGTCCACTTTTGGTTTGTAAAAAAATAGGTGACCATCACCCCCAGAGTAACAAACACTAAAACAAACACTTAGGGGCTAAAATGAGATGAAATGAAGAAAAACCAAAGAACTTTCTCATGCATTTCGTTCTCATTATACAAAAGAAAAAATACAAATGTCATGACATTCAGATTTGCCGTTGCGGCAGATTCTCTGCTTGTGCCTCTGAGAGTCCTGTGCCCGGCGTGTCCTCGGGACCCCTTCAGGAGCCTGGGCTGCGTCCAGGAGGGGGCGCTGCGGCGTCTGTAGATCAGTGAGCTGCAGACGCTCGCTCTCAGTCTTTGACTAGTCTGTAGATGTGATGCTGGGCTCCGTGCTCGCTGGTGGACACTTCAAACACGTACGCGATGCATAGCAATGTCTCTAGAGTGTCTCTGTTGGTCACCACCTACAACACAGACACAGCGTTTAGTCAATGAACAGCACGTCATGCTACGCTTACAGGATCCACTTGATTTGATCCACTGGGAGTTGACTGGATGGTGGAAACTTAAGTGTCTCAAATCAGAGGGAGCTTTTCATTTTGATGCAGCATTATGAAGACAAACAATGTATTAGTTATTTTCTTAGTAATAACTTTGAATGGATGAATCCATGAACTGTTGAATGTGTTAAATTCACAAAACAATTTGGCTTCCACAATCTTTGACAGCAAATGTGGCTTATGAAGCATATCTGACCCAGGGTCAGATATTTTACTAATATGAATTATTAATTATTAATATCTTAGTTTTGAATCATTCAAGAAACATGACAAATGTTGCCTCACTTTAAGCACACACACTTACACATACACTATATATATGTGTGTGTGTGTGTGTGTGTGTGTATAT